ATATCAGTTTTTTTTTTAATGCAATACAAACTTGAAATGCTAGCAAATAATTTATTATAATATTAAACTGGCACTGTACGTACAATTCTCGTAGGACAGTTTAAATTATTTTCATCGGTTGATAATCATGCGATGCGCATTGTCGTTGATGTATCTTTTGTAACCAATATACAGTGTTATTTACTGTGTTGCCTTTTCACAAACCAGATCACATTACATTAAATATTCTTTAAAAAAAAAAAGCACAACTGTGCATGTGCAAATGTGTATTGCCTAATGTAGGCCTAAGCTGTATTGTGTATTGATTTGAATAGTGATTATATTCAAAGTATTCATGTAAAATAGTTATGCAAGCACTTCTTGTAGTTGTTCAATGCACTATTTCTGTATGAGCAGCTAAGCAAGAAATATCTGTTCCATAACGAGGTGCGTTTGCCATGTACAGAACACCTAGGCAGTGTCTGCTTTGGTCGGCAGGCGGTGCTGTTGTCTAACACTCTGCGACTTGCTTGCCCGCTATCTGCATCTTTGTCCTCGAGGTCATTTCCTGTAACTGTGATTGGTTGTCGCAGTCATGTGCTACAACAGTCACACAGTTCTCCTATTAACTGATAGAAATGCAAATTCTTAGAAACAAAAACAATACTTTCAGGTTCTGCGCGAGAATAGTCGGAATTATTTCATATTTTATTTAATTACTGATTGTTATTTAGCCTATTCAATTTCACGTCTCATAATTTTTTCACTGCTGGTTTACAAACAAAAGTTGGTTCACATTTTAATAGTTTCAACATTACAATCATAGGCTATAACTATCCAAAATATTAGCAAAAAATAGTATTAAAATGTCCAAGTGAGTTGGAAAATCTCGAAACACTCACCCCTTGAATGAGCAGTAAAATATTTTGAATTAGGCTATCAATCGACTAATCAGTTGACTTTATATTCATCAGGCTGGATTAAAAAAATGTTTTATCTTACCAGTAAATGTTACTTTTATAGCCTAGGTATTTATATTTTATAGGTATTTATATTTTATATTTATTTTGTATATATATGTTTTTTTTTTTTTTACTCAGTGCACAGAAACTTTCGCAATGGCCATTTTACATAAGTCGACAACTCGCCATATATGGTGCTAATGTGTGTTTTTTTTCCCCCTCTCTTTCACTAGGAATGCATTATGAGTATTTCTTTAACCTTGAATTTACAGTCAGAAAAAAATCTCCCATTAGTTCACACATCAGAGATTTTCTAAAACACCTCATTTATCCTAGAGTGAACTGTGGCAAAATAACGTGCCAACTTAAGCAATGCTTTTTCCCCTTTTTTTAAGAAAAGGAAATTGCCTACTACACCGACTGATACTACTTGGATAAGAACTACAAAAAGTATTTGCCAAAATAGCCTATATCGCAGACATTAGTCTACTAAAATACAAGAAATAATCTCTGGTTTTCGACAGCGTAGTTTTTCCCCCTCTGAGTGCACTGAATGCGAATTGAACCCTGTGTCTTTATTTCCTCCTGAGATCAGAGTAATCGCCATTATTGAATAAGTGCAACTTTCAGGATTATTTATGGCACCCGCGCGCTGTCATGAATGGCTGTGGGGAAGCACGTGATACCATTAAACTTTGTTTTATGGCCAGGGAGTTGACAAGCCAAAATATAATTCACATTGTATATTAGAAAGGTCGTTCAGACGGGTTAGAAAGGATCCCAGTATCGCTGCAGAGGAAAGAGGCTCCACGCTTGTTTTGATCATGGATATACAAACTTGTCGATACGCTTTAAGTGATACTCCTGCTTCTGGAGGTAAGCTTGTCCTCAGTTCGTGTCACTGAACGTGTGCGTGGTTGAATTGTGCCATAATGTTTAGGGTGGTTTCATATAGTCAGCCTCCAAACCAGCGCTGATTTGTTTCTGTGATCTCCTCTTGTGTTGTTGTGCACAGTTTTGAGTGGTTGGATAACTATGGAGAGAAAAAAAAAAAGGTTGTAATGGAGGTGACGTAAATGTTATGCAGTAGTCCGGTTTTGGTGCAGTTGTGGCGCCACGTTATGAAAGATGCTTTCCGTCGCTCTTCAAGGGCTTAACTTGTATACACGAATTCAATTATTATTATTATTATTATTATTATTATATAGCCTAAGTTAAAATGCACATTTTCGATACAACGAGGGCAAAATTATATTTCTTTACTTTCTAATTATTTGTTAATAATTATTTTGTTGGATTCCAAGTGCGAAATACACACAGGCCTATATCGAGAGCTGTCTTTGATTACCGCATATTTAAAAATACGACCAAACCTATTTTTTTTATTTGTTTTTCTTTTGCATTAGACCTGCACATTATCGCTACGTGTTTACACCTGTTGTGCAGTGCGCTTCATTGTGATAAAATAGTGTGGCCTACTGTTTATTTTTAGAGAGAAATATGGCCAAACGAAAACATAATTTAGTCGATAATCGCGCTTTCATGACATATTACTGAACTTTGTAACAAGCAGGGTTTCTGGTTTCTATTGACCAGCTCTCTAGCGCCCCCAAGCAAAAGAAACGGTCGTTCTGGCCCTAACCCATCTATACTTTGTGTTCATTATTTTTTTCCTGAATAAGTGGCTGTTTAGATTATTGAGAACAACACAAAAGAACAAAAGTCCTTTTCATTAAAGCCTGAAATAAATGGTCTGAATTAACAATAGCAAAGATGTCCAATTGTATGTGCATGTTATAAAGGTAAACAAAAAATACATAATTTAGTTTTATCCAACTATACCATTTCATTTAAATAATGATTGAGAGGTTTGATTTGCTAAAATTTTTAATTAAACATTAATCAGTTAAAATATATCGGTGCATTCTATAAAGAGTAATCCAGATATTTTGAACTAAAGCGTTTGAGAAAGATCGGATATTTCATTCGATGATAGCCAAACCGGGGCTAATTCTCTTGTGAGTCAAACATATTTTTAAAAAAAGAATTAAATCATAAAAATGTCGATTATTAAAGTATGACTGTCAATTCTGCATACAAAAATTAATTTCCAACTTGATTTAAGTCGGGGGTTAAAATAATAACACGGTGCATACCACAGAAACCCCTATGCACATGCGAATTATTAAACAAAATGCAACAGGAGATCTTTTCATTTAAAATCAGAGGTCACTACAATTGGTGGCTGTCTCATTCTTTTGTTCATCAGTAACTCGGCTTTGACCCGCCTGAACAAGTCGCAAAGCAAGGTGAAACACGGGTCACGCTGTCTAACAATAAATAAATAAATACACGTATTAAAAAGGTACACTCTCTAGCTACGCTTGGTAAGTATATAACATACAAAAATTAATTAAGATATAAAAAAAAAAAATCTAATATCAAGAATAGATGGCCTGCATAATTTCGAAACTATTATAATTTCCCTTAAATCTAAAAAGCTATGATCACCCGTAAAAGCATCATGCTCTAACACAGTTGAACAGTTCAGATACAGCTGGTCAAATTAATCAAGCTATGTATTTGGTATTTGAATGGAAATTCATACGATTTTTTTTTTTTTTAAGAAAATAATGCTAAATCCCTATATAGGAAAAGAAATTAAAGAAAACGTCTTTGTTAACCCAATTTAGATGCAACGACAAGCATTGGTAAATATGTTTTAAATACTGACATTTTTAATAGATCCAAGGTTTTGGGGCAGCTTTGCTCTGGTGACCGGGAGCGAAGGACCACAGGAGCTGGTTATCAGAGAGGAGGTCATGTATTATCCATGAACTTTCCGCCTTTTCCGCTACCGCTGTCGCCTTGCAAAAAATAATAAAACTTTGTGATGTGTGTTGTAAATGATTCGGCTTGACCTCTAGACCTTTTAGCCTTCCTTTATATGCTTCTTCACGGTATCCAAACAGCACACGATTTTGAGGCCACCTGATCAATTTGACTGCCATGATGACAGCATCTCTCAGTGAGTAGAATTTAGCACAAAAGCCTCCAATCCTATACCTGGATGTATATAATAATGTGTTGTATAGCGATAGGCCTATAGAATTAGATTATTTTTATTAGTGTGATTAGTCACCATTTATTACATAAATTTGAGCGCAGTGCGCAAGGTCTGACTAACTGGAGAATATGAAATGATAAGCATATAATTGCATAATTGCATAATATGATTATATGATTCTGATAACTGTCATGAAATGCTTTGATCAGTTGTGTCAACATTGCCTCTGGTGGTCTACGTGGTGATGCTTTGTACTGCGTTTCTTCCAGTTTTCACTAAAACAAGTCAACATTTTTTACCTTTTATAGCGTTGAAATCTGAGTGAGAGACAGGACAGAGAGCAAAAATTAACGTGAACAATATTTTGTAAAAATGTTAACAAACTTTGCACATCCATTGCTCCCTAGTCTTACCTTATGAACTGCCAAGTGGCTATTCTCTTTTATGTGGCGTTTGATTATTGATTGGCGAACCAGGGCGCTCTATACAGCGAGCTGAAAGGATGAGAAGCGCTGGAATGATGAGACTCCAGTAACTTCTGAGTGACCTCTACGTGACAAAGACGGTCTCCATCAATTGTCTGCTGGCTTTATGTGACTCTTTTTGTGCCTTGGGCCGTTTTTTATCTTTTGTCTTGTTTTGTTTTTACCAGTCAAAATCCCTGTGTTGGGTTTGATTTAGCTTGGTTGAATATTAATTTACTAAATGGGCCACATACACATATATGTGATGCACATACATGTTTGTTATATGATATCATGAAATGTGTTGTAAGCAGGGATCCTCCCATGTGATGATGAAAGCATTGCCAACTGGGTCTCAATACACAAACAGAATTTATATTTTTTTTTTCATCACAGATCGGGCATTAAATCAATCCAATTTTTATATTACATTGTTAGCGTCCGAATTGAGAGATAATGTGAAGTTTGTGAAATCAACTACTAGGTGTGCACAGCTTCTTCTCGGTTGATGAAGTCCCTCCACCTCGATTGGCCGAGCTGGTCACATGGTAGCCTAACTTTATTCAGTTGACAGCAAGTAGGAGGGCTTTATGGAGGGAGGAAAAAAAGACAACTCGAGAAAAATTAGTATTTCCTACCTTCAGAAATTAATGGCCATGAGTTCGCACATGGTGAACTCCAAGTATGTGGATCCAAAATTTCCTCCTTGTGAGGAATATTCTCAGAACAGCTATATACCTGAACAGAGCCCACGCTACTACAGTCCGTCGCAGGACACTGATTTCCAGCATCCCGGAATCTATTCACGGCCAAACTACTCTGAACAGCCTTACAGTTGTAACACTGTCCAGGGCTCGTCGGTGCAGCCGCGGGGTCATGTGCAGGATAAAGACAGCCACCCTAGCCCTTATCCCGCACAGACAGAGCAGTGTCCTGCGGTCCAGATATCCGGACCGAGGACTTGTGGACAACAACAAAACACAAAGAGCCAGAACGGGATATCAGCCAAGCAGCCTGCTGTAGTTTATCCATGGATGAAGAAAGTGCACGTTACAACGGGTAAGATTAACTCTCTTAGCTGTCTGCTTGTAGGCCAGCCCTATTCTGCTGTTTTAGTCACAGTTAAAATCATTCAGTGAAATATTTATGGGTTCCTCTGAAGGGGCCGCCAATTACACCAGCCATAAATTTTTATTGCTTAGGAAATAGGCCGCTAGCTCTGTTGGACACTATTGCAATCCTGAGAGTCCACTTGGCCTAAAGCTTTGAACTGAAGAATTTAGCATAGGTAAAGTTTGAAATAAATTCACCGAAACTGAAATTATTCCGGTACAGAATATTTGTTGGATCAAATTCGAGCAAGTGGGTATTTATTTGTAAAAGTTCAAGCATTAGGAAGCGAATGGTTAGGTTTTTTGTTTTTTAAACATAAGTGTGTTTTTGTCTTTCTCAGTGAATCCGGATTACACAGGACCGGAACCCAAGCGTTCTCGGACAGCCTACACAAGACAGCAAGTTCTCGAACTAGAAAAGGAGTTTCATTTTAACAGGTATCTAACAAGACGACGTCGCATTGAAATCGCGCATACCCTCTGTCTCTCTGAGCGACAGATTAAAATCTGGTTTCAAAGAATGAAAAAAAAAAAAAAAACCGCACGAAATTTTGGTCTGTATTAATATTTGCTTGCCTTACACGGTGATTATTTACCACACCGTGTGACTTTTTAGAATTTGTAGCGTGCTTTATCAGTTTCTGCCCGAGTCCTGCACATTAAAACCATGGTTATGCTGCAGCTGCCCACTGATAACTGTGAAACTAGAATCCATAAATAAACCTCTAGGTGTTTCGCTTCATCATGAAAAATCATGAGTCAAAGCATTATTGACAAACTTGAAGATATCCATTTTGGTATCCGTGTATTTATTAAAAATACAGAGAGTTGTAAGCGATCATTACTATGCTAAATAACACTGCTAAATAACAACAGAGTTTATATCATTTAAATATTACACAACTTTCTCTTTGTTTTGATTCTTTTCTTGCTTTTGTTCTCAATGCCTAAAATTGTTGTCCATCAGCACTTAAAATGTTTGTGCTTGCGGTGTGTGTGTGTGTGTGTGTGTGTACCATATTTTGGGTGAAAAATATGTACCCTGAAGTGAAGTTAACATGACAAAATCTCTCAAAACCTCCGTTTGGAGACGTTCTCGTTTGTAAAAGCAGTAGGAAAAATAGTAAATAGAGGCTTTTTAAATTGTACAAATGCCTAAAGTGTTCTGTTAGTGTTAGGTTATAGTATTTATAACTAGCTGTATATAAAAAGCATGTCCCCATTTAGATAGCTAAGTAAACGTGTGTGTGAGAGACAAAATAATAGTACTAATAATTTTATCAACTTTTAAAATTATTTGTAAGTAAATGTCTGTAAATGTGTGTCTGTAATTTAATGTTACCAATGCTGTGGCAATGTAAAGACTTTTTATGTCAATAAAAGCCACTTCTATCACAATGAGAGAGAGAGAGAGAGAGAGAGAGAGAGAGAGAGAGCGAGCGAGAGTATAAGAAAAGCAATACACACCTTCAGGGAGGACAAAATGTAAAGTTTATTTCAGGAGAAACATCTACAAACATCTACCTTACAAAAATGCATGTGGAGTAGTTCTCTGATAGCATTTTTTACAGCAATTATTTTTTCTGAAAAAGGGATTTATATATTGCATATGCATGGTCAATAGTGTACCGACTATACAAATGTGTGTGTGTGTGTGTGTGTGTGTATACATATATATAATTTATATGTTGATATGTTCGTATGTGTGTGTATATGTGTGTCAAACAGCATATATAAAACATTCCAAATATCTATTTTTGTTTAATAAGCCTTGTGCCTAGTGAAGACACGCCATGCAGGGGATCGCTCCATTGTCTTTGCTTTCAGTAAGGCTTTCTGAGTATTGACCTGGATGTCTGAACAGAATAAATGAGAGCCATACGCAGTTCCATTTGCAATGACACTGCACCGACTACTAGCCTACCGCCGCTCTCACAATGCTTCTCAAACGGCCATTTTTGATTTCCAGCTGTTCGTTGAAAATGTCTTCGCCCGTCGAGACAGCCCGTTAAGATAAATCAAACTGCGCTGTCGACATCCCAAGATAGAATTCGGTATGTGGTTCCGTTCTATATCTTTTTTGTTTGACCACGTGATTGTCTAAATAATTAATGCAGCACGTCCCCTAGAAACACGGCGTCGTCATTAATCGCGAGGACTCTATCAGACTTGAAAACTGAAGAGATCCAAGAAAATAATATCCAAACGGTCCTGTACCTCACCCCACCGCAACCTGCACATTCCTACAGCTTTTCAGCCAATGGAGCATCGGTAGGTAAACATTTAAGATTAATATTTGCAGTGAGACAGCGGATAAACATATCTGTCAGGATTTTGATAAATAGTGTCTTTTGATTTGGTCTTCGCAGACAGACTGAAACAACTTCAGGCTCATTGTGATTTTTTTGCTTAAAGAGCCTCAGCATGAAGCGCTCCCAATCCAAACCTGTATCAATAATAATACAAACTGTGGAGTAGCACTACTTTTATTTTTAAAGCATTGAAGGCAGACGTTACGGTAATTATTTTCTCATGTAATGTAATGTTATATTGATGCATTTGTGTATGAAAGATGTGAAGTACAGTACGATAGTGTTTATTGCTTAGCCGCCAGGGCTTTAACGAAGGCCTCTTTGTGATTTATAATCCGTCAGAGATGCTGTTATTTCCCGATTTAGTGGAGACTATTTGCGGAGACTTATGTGTTTGGTTAGATAAAAAGGACACTTCATTGTAGAGGTCTATCTGGAAAATCATCACAGTTATTGACGTGAAGTATTGCCTGAATTAATGCATGTTGGATCCTGACAATTCTACAACAATTAAAGCAAAAACAACAACACCAACAAAACAGCATAAGTAGCCTAGTACACACACACAGAGAGAGAGAAAAATGGCATCGATCCAAAAACAATACATTTCATTGATGTCAAAAACCCCACAATACCCACTCGTTTAGTAAGGGAGCGTTATGATCGTGGGTCTATCCATAAAGTGTTGTGAACTGTTGGAGAGGGATGACGGTGATCTGCATCGTTGTAAATCATGCTCAGTAATTCCTGAAAGGGTGAGAGGCTGTTGGGGGCCGGGCGTGGACTGTAAATCTTTCACTTTTATTAGCCCGTGAACATATGTTGCAAGGGGAGACGACTCGCATCCTCTCCTCAGGACAATCCTTCGCTCGGCCGCGTTCCCAACCGTTTCATCTCCATCGTACCATCCAGCTACATATCCATGCAGCACAACCATAGAACAAGCATTCGAACTCAGATTAAATATTACAAACCCGACTTGCATTTAACCTCTCAAATTCTATCTTATGGGTAAAAAAAAAGCGTAGGGTCACAGAATTTGTATGTATTTTAGAAGCAGTTGGAAAACATAAAATGTAAAAAAGAAGTATTTTAATGCACAACTAGTAAAAATCTAGACACTGCATACTTAATTTTTCATTTCATGCTTGCATATTGATCAATACACACTCTTGCTTTTTGAGAAGAACAATATAGAATTTGGGATGATTTTGATAAATCTCTTTGGTTGAGGAGGTCATACATTGCTGTCATTGCCTAAACCATAATAGTCAAACAATATTTCAGTGGTTTCGTGTAGCCTATAATAAACGGATTTATGTTCTAAACAGCGAGCAAAGGGGAACACATATATATCTGGTCATCTTCATTTTAAATAAAACAAAAAATTCATAACGATGTTGCTTTCAACAACAGTCTAATCCACAGGTCTATTACACTGCGTTAAATGTAAAAAGAAAAAAGAAAATGAATAAAAAGGTGAAGATATTCAGTGGGACATTGGGTTGTGAAGAAAACAAAATCAAATGTTTCACCAGTTATTTGTCTTTCAAATAAAGACAATGCAGTGCTAAAACTATTTTTATTTCTTTTTTGCTTAATTTGAACGTTTGTTTTTATTATTGTTTTATTATGCCTGGGTTTCAAATCCATAATAAATAGCAATGTAGCTTTTGTCTTAATGATACACTCCGATACAGTGGCTGAGGAAGGAGCGAGTTCTTGTGCAAAATGATTGTACAATGATGTGAGGCTGGAGGGAAGGTTAGTGCTCTTGCTTTTAAAATGTATTTGTGAGGTGAAGCTGGTTGGAGTAGCAGTCTCAATTAGGACAATCTGCGATCCGGATCACGTGAACAAATATGCTTGTATTTTAAGGCAGCGCCTTTATTTGTCATGATAAGGTTTCCGAAATATAGCCTACTAATGTTGACTCATTCGGCGAGCCTGCCTCTGTAAAACGTTAACTTTTTTTCAAATGAGAAGTTGATTGCTAGTAATATTTCGTTTTGGAATAAGAAGACCTTCTTGGCTTTTTATTGGTAGCTGAGTGAGTGGCTCCCATTCTTTCGGGAATACTGTCTGCATTGGTATATGGAAATGCCTGGAAAAGCGCGAGATCAGTTTTAAGACAGTACTGTCTATAGACAAAGGGTGAAGGATATATCCGAGCAGCCGAACTGAGAGATATTGAGACTAAAGAAGCACGGCTATATAATAAATTGACATCACAGGTAAGCAATTGCATGGCAAAACGTAACCTTTAAGCGTGGGTTTACATTAGGCCGTCGTAAAAATATGATTTATTCCATTCAAAGCAGCTGATCTTTATTAATGTCGTCGCCTACCAACTAAGCAAGTGCGATTTGAAGACAAAAACTGAGACTAGTTTACACATTTGCGCAACCTTGACTATTTTAGATGGTTAGCATGTAAGGTGATTTCAGTCATAATATTAGAGTTTATTTTAGATGTTTTATTTTACATATTCTGGTAGCCTTCTGGAGTTGGCCATACACAGTATAAAACATCTGTGTCATACATTGTGGGATCGTTAATCACTTTAATTTGTGTTATAGTCAAAGCGATGTTAGACATGACATATGTGGGTTAAGGTAGGCTATTCTTTTAAACATACATCTTCCCATAAATTCAAATAATTTCAGTCTCTCTGATTTCGATTTAGTCCAAATTACTAAGATTCAACCACTCAAAAAATAACATTGCATCAATGTTCAAATCATATTAAATCATATTTCGCATGCAATTAAAGAGTCAAAATGAATAAAAAATAAATTAAGATACGAAGTAGATTTTTTTTCCAAAGGAAGCAAAAGCATACTATGCAAAGGCAAAATAGATGTTTGAAATCTAAACTAATATGGTGGTTTATAATTAGGTTTTAAGACGTAATATGATTTCTAAACTATTCCCGTAAATAATTACATTTCCTTTTTTCTTTCTTTCTTTTTTTTAATTTGATGTTCTAAACCCGTTTTGCAATTGAATGATATTGAGATTAATAACAGGTTTTTGGTTATGCGTATTTTGATTATTTTTATACAATTATTAATTCTTATAGCCTATATTTCACAAAACATTAAGTTCTGTAATTGCATTCTTCTGCATTGTGCGATATCTGGTAAATAAGTTGAAGCTTCCTCGCATTTTGTACACATTATTTCCAATATAGAATTTAAAATACTAGGGCCTAAAGTGATATATATATATATATATATATATATATATATATTCTTTTTTTTTCTACAAAAGAGACAGACTTGAGCATGCAAAACAGAAACAGATATACATGTATATATTTAGAGACCGACTTCCAGAGTCCATTATTTTTTAAAGCCCATTGTTCTATTATGAGTACCAAACTTACCGTGGGAGTGCGTGGGCGAAAACACTGTTGCCTAATAAAGGCAGACAGTGTTCGGCTGAACTGTTCGCTACATTTATCCCATTAAGACTTTGAACATGACACACAAGTTGAAAATACTGGCTACGTACATTCTCTTGTTACCGGTACTTTTGCCAACGTAGCGGTCCATCACCAAACAACAATACTATTAATACTATGTTAAATCCCATAGCCTTTTTCAATGGTGTTGTCCTCGTCTCATGATTTCGAAAGGATTTTCAGAGAGGCACAGAACAGGTCATCTGTCTAGTAGGATGAGGATTAAAATCTAGTCTTCAGGCTCTCGCTTGGTTTTAAAATCACCGGTGAAAAAGTTGTGTGGTGTGGATTGCATTGTGACTTAAGTCCCTTCCGTCCGTTGTTCATTAATCAGTGAGTTATTGGAGAGGAAGCCAAAGGTCACCCAAAAGGCGTATGAGTGCTAAATATTTTGGCCAGCATCTCTTTGTGTAAAATCGCTTATGTCAGTTTTTTTTCCCTCTCTCAGCTACAGCTTTGACTGCTCCTAAAACCAGTCCAATTTACTATAGGGGCGAAATAAATTCGTTCATTAAAAAAATGGGAAATCATGTAAAAATGTTATACATTTGTGGTTTTAAGAACAGTCAACGCAGATGGCCGTGAATTCGCATCCAGAATGTGAATGCTGTAATTTTGCAATCGAAAATGTAAGGTGTTGACCATATACGTACTCAGAGGCAACTTACAGAATCCTAAATATAACGGGGAGCTGGAAGAAAAATCCGATCAACAACTGAGATTAAAAATATTTTTTATTCTTCAGGTCGACGTCTAAATTATGAAGATCGCTTGAGGAGAAACAGAGGAGAGAAAACCACAGACTGCGGTAAGCTATGTCTTAATATTTTAGTTTACACTGAAATTAAATAATAGTAGCTTTATAACCTGCGGTGTATTGTCCTGTGACTCTTATTTCACAGTTTACAACATAGACAATAATAGGCCAGAAAAAGGAATACATGGTTTTTGTGTAAATACAAAATTATTTTGATGCTCTGAGCTTACACAACAATTTAACAAATTAACTTGAACAACAATTATTTACGTGCTTTTACCAATGCCTTTTTAGGTACACAATATATTGTACACAATAAACAAAACATTTACACTTAAAGCAAAGTATAAAATGCAAAATCATTTTATCTCGTAGATATATAATACATTCAAAAAATAAAACAAACAAGCAAGGAAAAAACAAGAACAAATATTCCCATCCGCACTTTCTTCTTAATTTAGAGTTATAATAAAATCCACACCTATCCGCGAAGTTGGGCAAAAGTGTGTTCCATTACAAGCAGTTAAAGAACGTTCAAGACAAGAGTGTGTGAATTACTGCAGTAGCCGGATTTATACTGGCGGGCTGTAGGCTCTGGCTTTAGCGGGACATTCTTGCCCCCAGCCATCCTCCTACGCTTAGAGTTTTACCCCTCTGACGGTACCAAGTCTTGAGGAGTGCTTTTCTTCTCACCCCTCTGTGAGGCATTTACGGCTGTAGTATGGCCAGTCATAAATTTGGTCGGCCTCCACAATGACAGGTGCATTGATATGTATCGAGCGGAGCTTCAGGCCGTCTAATAACTACTGTACTGAGCACGAGCTACAGTCACTTGGGTGAAAGCCTATCTTTAGAATAAGACTAGGAAGAAGACGACCAAGTTATACAGACAGACAGAAAGAAAGAAAGAAAGAAAGAAGTATTTTGTGTCTTTGTGGTGTATTGCAGATTTGGATCTCAGTTTGTTGCTAGCAGACTTTGCTACCACATACGAACCAAATCTTATTCGCATACTTGGGTGATCCACCTCTTACAACTCACATCGGCCTTTGGTGGGAATAACAAGACTAACTCCGAACCCACCATGCCGTATAATAATAGCAACTAGGAATTTAGGAATCGATTGAGTCCCGGTATTATAGAGTGTTCCAAAAGCGAACAAAAGTAAAACCTAACAAGCTAATAAAAATTCTACACTGTTTATATGTATTAGGTGCGAACGGAAAATATTACTGACACTAATTTATATCTCGGACTGTGATTTATTTTCATATAGGCTAAAGATTGCATTTTCGTATAATGTTCACAAATCCAAGAAATAGAGTGCATGGAGCCCTGCCACCAGTTATATCAAAATTCACGATTTTTGATGAATTTCATTCATGTAAACCGATGCTATGATGCCAAATCTTTACGTAATCTCAAACTACGTGAAAGATGCACAATTTCAGGTACAGAGAGAAAGGCCATAGGTGAAAGATGGTAGTTCACAACATAAGAACTATTACTGCTATGCTATGGTGAATTTTTAAGTGTTTTAATTATTCTGAAACATTTCATTTAAAACATGGTGCAAAACTGTACAATCTGCCCTTTTCTGCCCTTTTCAACCTGAGGCAGGAGACCACATGTTCTGTAGAGCAATAAAACATTTTGACTGAAGGCACTTAAACAAGATGACAAAAGAAAACTACAGTCAAATAGTTCAGTTAAGGGAGCAACATACACTGAATACTATTTTTTGAATACTATTTTTCACTATTTTTCACTACACAACTTTGTCCTGCCATCTTTACCATAGCGCATTAAGAAAACAACAACAACAGGTAAAGGAAAATTAATGAAATCCACAAAGTTAAGAGGAGAAATGAAATACAGCGGACACCAGAAACTATAGAGTTGGGTAAAAATCTATTTCCATCTCATATTTAAATATTGAAAATGCTATGGGCTGTTTCTCAATTGCAGTGTTATATGTTTAGAACGAGGAAGTATAGTTCTGTATATACAAATATGGAGTTTTTTACTGAGTACCACAGCATATCACTGTAGTACCTCACTTCTATGATTGTTTAAAGTTAATTCCTAAAATCTTTGCTACAACTGATTCATTTTCTTTCTCAACAGGTCAAAGGACAGAAAATCTGTGGGAAGCTCCAATCACGTGATTGACAAGTCCATGCAATTGGACAGGGGTTCACAGGCTCTCTTAGTTTGAACCTTCGCAATGCAGAAAGCCACTTATTATGACAATGCTGGACTTTTCGGAGGATATTCGTACCCTAAATCGGACTCCTATACATACGGTCCTACACACCAGGGCTTCACATCCTCCAGCATAGAGAACGACTATCAAAATCCAATCTGTACCATCCAAACCACGTCAGTCCGGCCATCAGCACATAAAAATGGAGACATCAATGGCAGTTGTATGCGACCAAGTGCCAGCCAGGGCAACAGCCAACCAGAGAGTATCAGTGAGCAGCAGCAGGCTGCTCCTTTAGCGGCCAGCTCACCCAGCCCTAACAGCAACTCCACACAAAAAAAGAAATCTCCCAGCACCACTGGCTCCAGTACTGCCACCCCAGTCATCACCAAGCAAATCTTCCCTTGGATGAAAGAGAGCCGCCAAAACGCAAAGCAGAAAAGCACCAACTGCCCAGCTGCAGGTATGGACTGTGTGTGTGCAATGCTTTTCTCTATGACTGGAGAGAGCTCCTATGATTATGACCTAGTTTATTTTGTTTACAGTAGGCCGTCTCTCTTTGGCCTTTAAGTGATGTAATAGGCTGTATAACAATTAATCCATTGCGTTGTTCTCTGTGTTCAGGAGAAACCTGCGATGACAAGAGTCCACCTGGCCCTGCCTCGAAACGAGTGCGCACTGCCTACACCAGCGCCCAGCTAGTTGAACTGGAGAAGGAGTTTCATTTTAATCGCTACCTGTGTCGCCCCAGAAGAGTGGAAATGGCTAATCTGCTCAACCTCACCGAGCGCCAAATAAAGATCTGGTTTCAAAACAGGAGGATGAAGTACAAAAAAGATCAGAAATCTAAAGGCATAATGCACTCTCCCTTAGGACACTCTCCGGACAGAAGCCCGCCGTTAAGTGGCTCGAATCACATTGGATATTCTGGTCAGCTTCCAAACATAAACAGCCTAAACTACGATGCGCCATCTCCTCCGTCATTCGCCAAACCGCAACAGAATATGTACGGCTTGGCAGCCTACACGGCGCCACTGGGCGGCTGCATACCGCAACAGAAAAGATACCCAGGAACAGAGTACGACCACCACAGCATGCAGGGGAACGGGAGCTTTGCGAATGCCAATTTACAAAGTAGCCCTGTTTACGTCGGGGGAAACTTCGTTGATTCAATGCCAGCTTCGGGTCCAATGTTCAACCTCGGTCATCTTCCCCATCCCTCATCCGCTAGTGTGGACTACAGCTGTGCCGCTCAGATTCCGGGTAACCACCACCACGGACCGTGCGACCCCCACCCCACATACACAGACCTCAGCTCTCACCACGCGTCTCAGGGAAGGCTGCAGGATGCACCCAAACTCACGCATCTGTAAGGATCCCATCAGTGTGCTTAAGCGAAACGTCGCTTTTGTATTACCTCACTAGTTAAACTAATTTATAAAACTACACTCCGAGAGAAACATAACGTATTATCCTGTATTATTATGATTGATATTACTATTACTGCTGCGATTGTAATTATTTTTAATAATAGCTGAGGTACATTTCTCTTGACTGTTGAAGATACACACGGTTGTTTGTTGTCAGTTGTTTGGTTCTCGGAAGGACTGTATTGGCAAAATGAAGGCAATTTCAGCTGTGCCGCTCAGATTCCGGGTAACCACCACCACGGACCGTGCGACCCCCACCCCACATACACAGACCTCAGCTCTCACCACGCGTCTCAGGGAAGGCTGCAGAATGCACCCAAACTCACGCATCTGTAAGGAACCCATCAGTGTGCTTAAGCGAAACGTCGCTTTTTTATTACCTCACTAGTTAAACTAATTTATAAAACTACACTCCGAGAGAAACATAACGTATTATCCTGTATTATTATGATTGATATTACTATTACTGCTGCGATTGTAATTATTTTTAATAATAGCTGAGGTACATTTCTCTTGACTGTTGAAGATACACACGGTTGTTTGTTGTCAGTTGTTTGGTTCTCGGAAGGACTGTATTGGCAAAATGAAGGCAATTTCCATAACGTATTACTTGAAGGTAAGTTCTGTAGATTTGACAGTATAGGCATCCGTCTTTATAGAGATGGGATTTGTAGAGGGAAAAAAACCCCATTGCGTCTTTAAGTCGTCTGTTCCTCATGGGTTCTTCATTTTATCCATTAAAATACCATTATTTATTGTTTTCCTCCAAGATTGTACGACAAACATTTATCTTGACTGAGTATTATATTTATTATTTATCGTTTTTAACGCACATTATTTATCTTCTCATGTATATTATTTATATAACAGTTGTAGAATTTATTTTGAGCAGAAGCCGACATTTCGTTGAACTGGTGAAAACAAGGTGATAATGTACGACTGGTGTATTTATTTCTTCATTCGGTAATAAAATATTATGAAATGAAGAATTAACAAGAATCTCGAAATTGTAATTATTATTATTATTACACCCAGTAATTGGAAATTTGGCAATCATCGTGTTGCTTAAAAACACCAGCACGTAACGACACATCCTCACGTTCATTATAAATGTTATTTTGTAAGTTGCACTGTCCATGCATAAAATGATGAAATAGTAACGATATGGAAATGTTATATTTTATTGTGTTAAACATTTTGTAAATAAAGTGCTTAAGATAAACAAATGAAATTGCAAATGCTACATCAATATTAATGTATTTTCATTTTCATACTTTGTATATTTTTTAGTATATTTTAACATTTTCATATTGTGTGTGGATATGAATGGATTTCAAATTTGGATTTTGCTCAATTCTCAAGGCGGAGACGCCATTTTGGAAACACAAGGATAGTAAACAAAGGAGGCACCTTCGCTCTCACCCTGAATGTGCGCGCAACCTTATCACGGCTGCTCACAAAACACAATAGCAAACCTCACCATTGCATTTATTTTACATTTGCTCATTTAAAATTGAAGAGAACTGCATAACCATATTACGTGAAAGAGATTAGCGGAGGGTTTATTATGATTTAGGAAATTGAGATTTCACAAATTTCAAATTTCCCGCTGGTTATGGTACTTATTAAATAACTTAGTGTAAATATGATGCCTTTCTATGTCAAGCTGGTGCAATGTGCAAATCTAGATAAAGTTATAGGCTATTCTCGTTGGTGTGCCAAAGTGTTGTAACCTACATCCCAAGATTAAAGTATTGCTAATACTTTTTAATGTTTTTAAAGACTGGGAGCTCAGTAGAAATTGTGATACATCATAAGGCCCAGAGCAAGTGTTTTGTCTTATAAACAGTTTGAACATTAACCTGCACCATTGCGCAAGCATTACTACATATAGGTCTATGTATTTTAAAATGCACCTTATAATGTGGTAATGAATAGCCTAAAGCGTCACTGCCTTTGTAAGCACTGGCAAGCCGTCTCTAACAGAATAGGCTCTTTCCCGGCTTCCCCCTAGCGAGACATTTCAAAGCTCATTAATCAAAAACTCGTCGCTTTCAGTCTCGCTACTGATTTTTAAGATTTGTGCACTGGAGGAAATTGTGTTAAAAAAGGAAAATAAAGGCCTCTTGTTATCAAATGTAACAAGAAAACAAGAAAATAAAGAAAATAAACACAAACTTTCTTAAGATTTGTGCACTGGAGGAAATGGTGTTAAAAAGGAAAATAAAGGCCTCTTGTTATCAAATGTAACATTTGTTTCCTGTGGCTATATATGCTGTTTTGTTCATCGTAAAGGAAAAATTTTCTTCCATCTTATATATATAGTGAAATGATACGTTCTGACATGCCGTCTCTAACAGAATAGGCTCTTTCCCGGCTTCCCCCTAGCGAGGCATTTCAAAGCTCATTAATCAAAAACTCGTCGCTTTCAGTCTCGCTACTGATTCCAGCTCCTTATGAACAAAGCTTTTTGCTTTCTCAACTGTGGAAACACATTTCAAACTGCAAGAGGCCAAACTTTTTCCTGAGAGAGAGAGACTGTGACAACACACTCTGCATGCAATCATGGCATGGAAGAGAGAGAACTCAAAGCTGGAAAGACATAGTGGCATAGAGCTGCAAAGGGTTTAACCACTGAAGGCCTCTTGTTATCAAATGTAACATTTGTTTCCTGTGGCTATATATGCTGTTTTGTTCATCGTAAAGGAAAAATTTTCTTCCATCTTATATATATAGTGAAATGATACGTTCTGACATCAGCAAGCGTTTTCTTTGATCATCATCAATTTATTTGTATTTTTAATTTTTAATTATATTTTAGAATTTGTATTTACATAGGCAGGTATCAATGAGAATGTAAACAATTCTGGTAAGGTTTAATTGCACTGCCGCTCAGGAAATAAATTATTTGACACAAAAATAAGTTAGGCTAATCAAAAAAGTGAGTCCTAACATTACACGCATCTTTCTGCTTCTGTAATAAGGGATACTAATCCATAATAACATGTACAGCTAATGAGAATGTTCAAATTTTTTCAAAATACATTTAAAATATCAAAGAGATCCAGATGTAATTTAGGTCATCTTGTCTCAGAACAACAAACAAACCCCCCCAAAAAGGCCTGTTAGATTTTACTAGCAGTCAAATCATTGTCTATTGAGCTCTAAAACATCAACACACCAGCCATCGTTTGTGTAGGCTATGTGAAAATCGGGATTTAATCGTGCATTTGTCTTATGGATTCAGAAAGCCATGCTTTCCCTCAATTTCTCACGGGTCTGTTCTTGAGCAAGCTGAACAGAGCGGGTTGCTCATATTTTTAATGAGCTTTGACAGAAGCAACCAATTCACTGTTAGGTCGCGTAATGCGAGCCATTACGCTTTATTTCACTATGTTGTATCGGCTTAAAATAAAAGCGCTCGATAACACGTTACAGAAAAATAGTGCAAGTCTTAGTTTGAACGCTGCAGTTGTCATGGGTATTTGGTAGCTTGAGGTCATCAATCACTGACTGTGCACAATTTTCCTCGACAGCAGTTCCGAGTCTTCCGAGGGGAGAAGCCAGATGCGCTGCGTCTATCTTCAGCTCAAAAGGGACAAAAACCGCAGAACCAAACACTCAGTTCATCACACGCTATAATGATGAGAGAAGCATTTAGAATATTTTATATTATTCTTACCTATGATTCTCTAACAAAGCACACAGTATAGCCAGAAATAAACACATATTAGTTGAATTTATATTAACTAATAGGTAGAAAATATGGCATTAACCCCTGCGTGGAGAGTAATTCATGCGTTTCAGCTGTGCCTTACTGTTAATGGCCTGTGAATTTGACATTGAGGCCCCTGACAACCCTGCAAAAGAATTTCAGTTCGCAAGCAAAGCAAATCGTTTCTTGGGGCTTTCTGGGGTTGGTATATAAATTCATAAAATAAATCAGATCCAGTTATTATTACTACGCGCTGAGGCGCTCTGAGAAACAAAGATATAGACTGAGCACTACTCAAGCCCCCAGGCCAGCCGACACATGGGTCGCTCTCGATTGGTCAGAGCAAGGCGAGGCCCCTCCCCTCGTTGTTGTAGGCAATATTTACATGTTGAGCCAGAAAGTACAGTAAGTAATGAAGACAAGCACCGCGAGCTATCATTCACCGTTTAAAGTGGCGCTTTAAGAGACATAATGACCTCGTTCTTCAACTGTTACCCAGGTGGGAACTTTATGACTTTCACGGCCAAGTACTGTCAGGATCAGAGGAAGACTGCGCCCCCGTCTTACCCCGGAGGCACCCGAGAGAGACTGACGAGAACCATTCTGGATCATCATGTCAACACCCGATTAACCTCGGACATGCTTCAAGGTTCTTTTATGATAGAAACGCTAGTGAGTTGGCTCACACGGGTCCCGAACTTGGTTCAAATGTAGTTTATGCATGCTGCATGGAAACCTATAGCCTACTCATCTCAACGAGCATTGCTCCAACAATAGCTCGGGAGAAATAGCCTACACGTTTAGCCAATGAGATAAAACAACGCATGCTTATTAGGGTGGCAGCTTCCAAAGTTTTTCTCAGGTAGGTTGTGATATAAGAGAAGTTTAGCCGTCAGAGCAAACAGGAGACTCGGTTCAATTGGATGAATATGCCAAAACAGTATGTTGGGATGACGTTTGTTCGTTTTAAAATGTGGTATTGCCTACCTACAACAAACTATGTTCCGATATTTTTTTATAACATTGTCTATACTTTTTGCAGGCAACGTGCAACTGATCGACCAACATTGCTGCATGCACTAATTTCACCTTCACCAAACAACTCACTGGACTGGAGAAGGAGTTTCACTTCAACAAGTACCTGTGCAAATCAAGAAAACCGAAATAGATCGCGCTGTGCACCTGAGCAGGACCCAGGTGAAGATCTGGTTCCAGAGCAAGCGGATGAAGCAGAAGAAGAGAAAGAAGGAAGGCCTGGCACCGCCAGCTCCCCCATCTGCTCTGTCACCACACTGCTCTTGC